TGACTGTATAAATAAATGATCGTCGCCAATCATATTTATTCTAATTTTAGCCAATCAAAACGAACTTCTTCAATGCTTATATAAACTCGCAGTATTTTTCTTTTTTTAAAAAATTTTGTAAAATTTTCTGAAGTAAATTATTTTGGAGCTATTATGTAAAATTATAGAGTAGACTTTTCTGATTCTAATGATAGTATAGTCAAACTTTCCTATAATCATACCCTTGGTTTGAAGAATTTGGGGTTGGTGCTTATAGAAAGAGTTTGTATATAGAGATTAAATTTTATATATGTTATATAAGTTGATTTTAAAAACTTATGATTATAAGTAAATGTGACTATAGAAGAGTGACTATAAAGAAGTCTGACTATAAATATATTAAAATTGGTTGAATATTCAAGATACAAATATTTAAATTTTAAATATCAAAATTTGTTTACAACAATCATAATAATTATATAATATCAACCAAACAAAATTAATTATTTTGTATAATTGGAAAATTTTGAGGCAATTGAGAAAATTTTACAATCTATAAAAGTATAATTTTTTATTTATTAAAATTTTTTCATTTCTAATTTAGCTATCCTGCTCTTGTTTATTTAGGATTAAGTTATTTAAAAAATTGCATGAATCACAAAAAATTATATGACTAAAATAGTCGGGCCTTGATTATCGCAATCTAAATGGAAATCTTTTGATGTACCTTCATCTCTACACTATTGTTAATTTAACTGAACAAAGGCTTGCCTGTGATATGCCAGATATAATCTGTCTTAGTAGTACTTGGCCTCCCTCCAGGTTCTTAACTTACTAAGAACTTTTTTCTCTTTATTTATTAGCTGATAGCTACCCACTCATCAAAAAGCAAAATAAGAAAATAAAATACAAATAAGCATTAAAAAAAAAAATAAAGATATAGAGTACTATGATAAAAATATACAAACAAAAAAAGAAAAAGAGTAATAAAAAAATAAAATAAAATTTTGTTTATCATAACATTACAATTATAAGTCGGCTACAGGATTTCGATTTAAGAGTGAATGAATATGTAATTTCAATAGTCATGTGAGTCCGTAATCTCAATAGCAGGTGAATTCACTATTTAAAAGTTAATAATGAGGTTCATGATATTTAATAATGAGTAATTTCAACAGTAGATCGTAATTTTAGTAGTAAATAAGTAATATTTCAGTAGTGCTTGAATTTGCAACTTAATAGTGGTTAATTTACAATTTATAGTGGATAAGGTAGAAGACATAGGTTCAAAATTTTAACAATTTTAACAGTGAGCAGGTTCATAGATTCAATAGTATATGGATTCATAATTTAATAATGAGTAGACTTGAAATTTCAACGGTGGGTAAGTTTATAATTTGAACAATTTATAAATTTATAATTTCTTGTAGTTTGCAAAATAATATCTTCGATCAAATTTTATACATAAATTGTATGTGGATTCGTGATTTCAACAGTAGTGGGTTTACAATTTAAATGGCTAATTAGTTAGTGATTTCAATAGTAGTAATTTCATTATTCTGATCTCAACATTGAATAATGTATTATTTAATGGAAGGTGGTTTGTGATTTTAGTAATATGCGAGTTAATTATTTGTTATTTTAACAATTTGTGGTTAATGAAGAGGAGTTTATTATTTCAACAGTTGGTAGGTTCACAATTTCAGCAGTAAGTAAAGAATTTAACAGTGGTTTCGTGATTTTAATAGTTGGTGTTTATTTTTGCAATGTGTATTTTATTCTGTTTGTTGTAGCTTAAATTCTCGAAAATCATTTTTCTAAAAAAAAACACGAATTTAACTGGCGTTAACTATAAAGCTAACTGAGTCATTTTTCAATTTTAATTGATGGTATATCAATTTTTAAATTACGATCGATATAAATTTGATAATACGTATATAAAAAACATGTTTAGAGGCGCCGGTGGTGACCCATTTACTCTTGTATGTAGTTGATATAATTTACGTATTCAATTGGGTATTACCAAAGCTAAATTTAATAGTCTCACCCCTCCCGAAGACAAATCAATTAAAAAATTTTATAATAAATCTCATTAAGAAAATATTCTTTTGCAGTAGAAGTTCCAAATTGCCCTGAAAATCAATAATAAAATTCGGGTAAATTTCGGTGCGAAAATCGATTGGCATAAAAAAAATTTTAGGTGATTTCTTTCTTGAAGTAAAATCAAGTGTGTAGTCTAGTTCAAGTCGCATATTATGAGTACCGATAAATAAGTTATATTATCATTTTGGTTGCCGTCAATAGAAGTCACATTTTAAAGAAAATCAATATTTTAACTTTTATAGTTCATATTTTGATGAATTTTGATGATTTAATAGTCAAAAGAAAGCCTGCGTTTTAAGCTTTCTTTTGACTATTATATCATCAAAATAGTTTCAAAATTCATCGAAATATGGGTTATAAACAGGAATGGCACACCACAATATCCAATTGGTTTCATTTTTTTTTGGACATATGTCTAAAAAAAAATTGAAACCAATTGGACATTATGACATGCCATCCCTGGTTATAAAAGTTAAGGTATTGATTTTTTTTAAAACCTCAATCTGCTTGATTTCTATTGACGGCAGCCCATTTTATTGAGGTTGAGTATATATGCTTTCAATTACGTATTATACAGTATGTCGATGATTAGCATTTAGGCGATGCTTATATTACGATAGATTGATGCAAAAAAAAAGATTATAGTAAATTAGAAACAGTAATTGTTTTTTATATAACTTGATAAAAAAATAAGAATTTTAAATTCCCACTCTGCTGACCCGGCCGGGATGGTCTTATCCTTATTATACTTACCATTGTTATTTAAAAGATTTTCCGCAGTTTCACGATGTTTTGTAGTGTATTAAAAAAAATTTTTTCGTATGCCTTGCGTTTTTCTACATTTTTGTATTTTTGTGTAATCAAAGTAACATATTCTGGAAGTGACCAACCATCCGAAGAAAAAATTTAAAATATTCGCTGCACGGTATCTTTTGAAAATAAATATCAAGGGAATAGATATAAGAAAATAAAATAGATTACGTGTTTTTATGTTTTGATTTTACGTCACGCCTGATCTCAAAATATGATTGGCTGCTGCATCTGATGTTAAACGTTATTGTTATCGGTATCGGTATCAATATACTAAAACTGGTTTTAACATATGAAACATCAAACCGGCTCCAAACTCTAGTATCAGGTTTTTTAAAAAATGAAATATAGTTATAACTGTCGAAGTGGGAACGGAATTAAAAATTTTTAAGAATCTTTATTCCATTCCAAGTGGATTCCGAAATTATCTATATTCCATTTCCGTTTACAACATAATTACTAGTTTATAACAAATTTAACATCGGTAGCGGATTTTTTCATTTCAATCTTAGTAAATTTGATCATGACCTGAAGAATTATAAGTTTATAATTTTATGATTTTATTTTTTAAATTTATGACTTAAATGATAATTTTTGGTAAATAAAAACAATCAAATACATAAAGCACTAAATTTGCTATATTACATTTGAACCCAAATTGATTTATAACAAACGTCCATGTAGTCGTATAAATGAATATAGTTTTGATCAAAAAGTAACTGTTTTGATACCGATAGTTAAATGCATAATTAAGATAATTTACAAATTTTTACATGCATGAATAAGTGTCCAAAAATCTTAATTGTTAAATTTCAATGAATTACATGCATACCTTTGCCATATAACTATAACATTTATACAATCTACAATTATAAATTTCGATGTAATTATAAATTGGTCAAGTATTATTAGTAAAAAACACCAGAATATAATGTATACGAATAAAAGAATGTGGATTCGTGTCGATTCACCCAGGCGATCTTGAAAATTCGTACATAGATTAATCTAAGAGTGAGATTAAGCAGATGGTTAAATTATACTAAATAATTAATAATAAACTATGATAACAAACCTTCCGGTACTTCAATTATAGGAGTCCTAATCACATCTATAAAATTAAATTGTAAATTTATATTAAAAAAATGTGTCGACACAAATCATGCATACACCAAAAATGGATCTTGTGAGTACGTGAACTTTAGTACAGGGAAGCATGATTATTAATCATTGTCGCGGCTGAAGCTGGGAATTAGTATCCTCGATTTAAAAATATAAACCCTACCAAAATCCACTAATACATTTTTATTATCAAAACTAACCCTAAATTCTAAGCTAACTATAAAAAAAAAAAGCTAAAAAATGCACCCCCAAAAAATTTTTAAAATTTCAGTTTCAGCCATTTCCAGCTTCAGCCGCGACAATCTTTATGTGCGCACGTGATCACCATAGAGCCAGCTCACCTATGCTAAAGTTCAACCTCAAAAAAAAAAATAAAACATAAATAAATAAAATACCATTTAATCGTCCCCTACTTATTGAAGAAATTTTAGCCATGCCATTTATAGCATTTATGGGTTTTGAAGTCTTAAACTTTAAAATTTGACTTTTGTAAACAGCTTTTTCATGAATAGTTAAATTCAATTTTTTTGAACTAGAATTCTTTTTCCAATCTTCATTGGCCAGTTGGAATTCTTTGTAAACGTTCGAAGAAGGATTATCCCGAATTTTATGCTTCCAACTATCCAACTTTTTATGTATTTGTTGCATAGTAGGACGCCCTTCGGGATTTGCATCTAAACATTTACTTAATAATTTTTTTATATGCGGAGGAGTTTCTTTTGGAAGCTGTGGCCGATGTCCCCTACATATGTCAAATACCAAGCCCTGATCATGAGCTTTATTATAAAATGGTGGATTACCAGCAACCACTTCTGAAGCGATGATTCCAAAACTGTAAACATCAGACGCAAGTGAATAAGATGCTTCGGAAAAAACTTCAGGTGCAACATAAGGAATTACACCATAAACATCCTTTGAATTTTCATTATCCAGGGGTTTACATAATCCTAAATCGCTAATTGTCATGCCGGATTGTCGGTCAAGTAAAATGTTGCCACTGTGAAGATTTTTGTGAATTATCTTTACATCATGAAGTTTAGAAATACATAATGAAATTTCTAATAGAATTTCATATCTTTCATCCCAACTCTTTTCATGAAAAGTTTCATTTAAAACACGTCTTAAACTTCCAAAATTCGCATATTTCATAAC